GGCTTCAAACCCCAGCCGAGGTTCACGGGGGATGAGAGGGCCTTCCCCTGTGCGTCTTGAGACATTTTTAAATGCCTTCGAGGTGCCTCAACCCTTCGGTGGTTCAATTTTGGGTCTTCGTTGACGGATTTTTATTTCTTGAAGGGGTGAACGCGCTTTAATCTGAGGGCTCTGCGAGTTTCTGGTTTTATTGGAGTGTGATTGCGATTTTTGGGGGAGGACACGTTGGGTATAGAAAGTGAACTGGATTGACGCTCAAACGTTAGGCGTAGAGACACTCAGGGGATTATCCCCTCCTTGGGGGCTCTTGTGGTTTGGGGTTTATTGGGTGTGATGTTTACTGTTTTTGTAGGGTATGGCTTCAGAATTTAAACCTGTGGGGATATATTAGGAATTTGTATCGCTTTCAAGGGATTCAGAGATTGGCAGAAAACATTTGAGTCTTTGGCGGTGGAATTTCAGATGGACACAATCCGTTTTGGACATGTACTAGGTATTTGTTTGGTTTTTATGGATTGTTCATGTCGAAAAAAAAATGGTTTTCTGTAAAAATTGCACAAAACAAACATTTCATCCCTGCACTACCCTCGAGTGCGTTTCCCAGGGGGTTGGAGATTTTTTTATGGGACTGAGGGAGTCCCTTACCAAGATTGTCCAGTAGGAATGGTTTGGTTTTTTTGAATGTTTCATGTTAAAAAATTTTTTTCATTTTCACCTAGGTTAAGGGATAGATCTTGGATGTTTTCAGGGGGAAACTCGACTTGCGGCAAAATCGAATTTTTTCGGCGACTGAAGGTTGATTCCGATAATTCAAGTGACGGGCTATTCAGAACTCTCAAAAGTATGTGGAAAAAGTGAAAAATGAAAAAGGTTTTTTTTTCAAATTTTCAAAGGGTCAGATTTTCCGTTTTCCTCGGGGGAAAGTCGACCTTCCCCAAAATCGAATTTTTTAGCCCGGTGAACGTTGATTCCAACTATTTAAGCGACGGGCTATTCAGAACTCTCAAAAGTATGTGGAAAAAGTGAAAAATGAAAAAGGTTTTTTTTTCAAATTTTCAAAGGGTCAGATTTTCCGTTTTCCTCGGGGGAAAGTCGACCTTCCCCAAAATCGAATTTTTTAGCCCGGTGAACGTTGATTCCAACTATTTAAGCGACGGGCTATTCAGAACTTTCAAAAGTATGCGGAAAAAGTGAAAACTGAAAAACAAAATTTTCCCCGGGAGCCACAGGGTCAGATTTTCCCTTTTTATTTGGAACAAGGGTCAGATTTGTTAACAATTTCATTTTTTATTTGGACAATGTATTCAAGCGGAGGGACAAGAGTGGCTAGAATAGATTCTGCAACCTTCTCCGCTTGTTGGATAAAAATGTCAAGCCTCCGCATACATGCATTTCCCCTCCACCCTCTCATAAAATGTCGATTTCCGAGTTTAAAAAAAAACAATAATTGCATTTTTTATTTCAATAACGCATGAGTAAACAGGGATTTGTACCCAGATTTAATATAGGCCCATAGAATTACGGGGACCGGCAAGGATTTGGAAAGTCTGAATACAAGTCCTGCTTACACCTAACAAGTGCTGAAATGGGACATAACCAGAGGTAGAAAGGTCTCGGAAGTACTTGGGAAGAGGCTTTCCAAGACCTATCCAGTTCTGAACGGAAAGACCTAATTAGAACCTGTCAGATCCAATTATTCGACTCAGGTCTACATCCATTGCGACCTTTTCGATAGCAGAAAAATATCTTCATCAATTATTATTGGCTATTTTATCAGCCTCCGCGTTTGGGGGTAATTCCGCCCAGGGTTTCTATAGGACTGCTTACACTCTGCAGCTAGACCCGAGTGGAAATTGCTTCAGGCCCACCTGAAGCACGATCAGAACTTGATCAGGTTTTTGTAAGGTTCGACTGATCCGGTGATTCCTGATGAGAACCTGACCAAGTTCTGATCCAGCAGATCGGATCCGAAAAACTACAGGCGGGTTCAGATCAAGTTCTGATTAGGTAGACATGATCAGATGATGCCTGATGAGAACCTGACCAAGTTTTCATCCAGCAGATCGGATCCGAAAAACTGCAGGATGATTCAGATCAAGTTCTGATCAGGTAGGCACCATCTCATCCTGAGGTCGGCTGCCTGACCCCAATTTGATCAAATTCCGATTTAATGTCTGATCGGCATTTGAAAGGGATCAATTGAAAAGAAAATGATCAGATTCAGATCCGCTCCACCTGACATTAATTTTAAAAAGTTCTTCAGATAATTTAATTAACTATTATCATACTATTTAAATGAAGTTTTATCAACCATTATCAACAATAATTTTCAATCTTTAAAAACGATCATTATACTATAATTAAAATAAATTAAATTAAATTAATTTAATTTAATTATTCAATTTAATTAACGGCCAGCCCTTCTCAAATGTACAGAAGGGAGGGTGATGATGCCGTAAATACGTATTAGAGGAGTATCAAACATACACGCAAATGATCTTGAGAAAAAAATCACCAAATGGCTATTTATTTATTAGTGTTATTGTTATTATCATTAATGAAATAAATAAAAATTTAATTGAACATATTTAATCTCTGAGAATACCCACCCACATCCGCGAGATCAGGAATAATCGTAAATTCAACGAATACCCCGATATAAATCATATAGGCAATGTACAATTTACTCAATAGAAATAGCACGATAGCGTAGTAGTTAGGGCATAGGATTAGTAATCATAGAGTCCCCGGTTCGATCCCCAGCATCGGTAAAAAAAATAATAAGCTTTTTCAGAGGTAATAACAGTAGAGATTCATTAAGAGGCGGCCTACGGTGAAAGAATTGAATTATCTTTTGTTTTGGATTAATTATCATTGATAATTGTTATTGATACTGACAGACAGGTCATCCGGTTTTCTTACATTTGACTTGATCAAGTTCGGATCCATTCGTCCGGATCAAATCCGGATTGGTCAGAGGCCTAACATGTCTGATCAAGACCGGATCCGTCAACTTGATCAATACCTGATCAGGGATCAGGTCTAACCTGATCCAAACTTGACCAAGACCTGACCGGAATTTCCACTCGGAGATGGCGGTCGATTGCCAGCTTGATTGTTTGGGGTAGTCGGTGGCCACTGAAACATCGGGTAAATTCAGCATAATTTATTATTATTCACGTGAAATCTTTCTCAAAAAAGCGCCAAAGAATGGAAACGAAGGATGAAAATGGGAAAAATTATAACAGTTGGTCTGCATCGCTCAAAAACGTCATCAAAACAAGGTGGGCGGTATTGGACGCTTGGCGGGCGATATTACCCTCGAAGTTCGATTCCATCGCTCGCCGGCCGATGGCAATTGAATTACATAATTAAATATGTTTGATACTAATCAAAAATCTGTCCTCTTCACATCTTCGAGTAAACACCTTAAAGAACCCATTCTGACCGTTTATGACTGCTTGTACCCTAGTAGAACTTGTGAGAGGCTCTGCGACATTGGCTGTTGCAGCGGCATTCATGCACGGAGTGCGGTGCCGTACTCCGCGGCTAGGTCGCTGGTGGAACCCTAGGCGACACTGATGCAGTGCGCTCCCATTTTTTCATTTTATCGATAATAATAATACTCAATTACTTGTGAGAGGTTATTATTCACTAACAAATAGTTAATTCTTCAATTATTGATTTGAATTATTACGCATAATCTGAAGATTATGAATTCTTAATTGATGGGATTTGAGGTTAGGGCGGACACAGATGGATCCATCCCGCATAAACCCCGCGCAGCCCTGTCTCAGTGACCCTGCTGCGTACCTTTCTGAGGTACATCGCCGTGAAAGGCAATGTCGCGCGCCAACTTACGCCGCGACGTTTCTGCGCAATTAAATTCTACTAGGGTAGAGAGCAGGGCTAGAAAAAACGAATCATTTCCCTTAGGTGAACGGTACATGCATCAGCTCCCCTACTCACATATTGAGCCATATAAACCAGCGGTCTGTTTAAGGGTGTATTACACCCTTTTCCCCAAAATTCTCGTTTTTTGAATTTTTCTGGCAAATTGTTGATCGGATTGACGTGAAAAAATATACCGTTTTTGCGTTTTATCATTACCTGATGACTCACAAAATTTCATGATCGTGCAATCATTTTCCTGCGTTTTTTCTAAAACTTTTCGGAAATTCACAAAACTTTAGAAAAAATGCAGGAAAATGATTGCACTACTATGAAACTTCGTAAGTCAGTCAATAGTGATAAAACCCAAAAATGGTATATTATTTCGCGTCAATCTGATCAATAATTTGGCAGGAAAATGAAAGAAACGTGAATTTTGGCCGAAAGGGTGTACATCCTTAACTAGTCCTGAATTATCGACCTCTCAATTTTCCGATGAATCTTGACATCATACTTAGAAAGCTTCCACTATTGAGCTTGAAATCATCATGAGAAATAATGATTCAATTTTTGATTAGTATAGTGAGTAGTACTATTCTGGGCCTTCTTTATGGTGAGCTTCCCCAGAATATCTATCTGCGAATTGCCATACAATGTCTCACATTCAAAACAGGTCCTAAAATTTCGCACATCATTTTTCCATTTGCAACGTATAATCTGATCAAATACCGTCGTCTTAACAGAGTTAGACAAGATTGGTTCCATATAGATAAAAATTCGGCAACAAGGAAAAATGTCCCGAATTCACTGACAGAATTCAGTTGATGCATTATCCAGATGATGGTAGATAACATAATTTGTCACGCTTTTAAGTCAAAATAAATACATTCCAAAAATTCTAGATGGATTATTCGTCATTCTGAGGCGAAGAATCAACGCGTTATTTATGATCCAATTTAAGAAACAAATCAACAATTTTAGAGAAGAGGAATTGTTTCTTACGCATTGTGGATTGGTATTTAAATGCATTCAAAGTGCACTCAGGATTCATTGTGAATAATTCTCTTCTGCTCGGAACACTCCTCTGCTCGGAACACAAGTTTGGAAAAATGACTCGGTTCGGAGTACTCGCACTCCTGGGCCTCTCAACTCTTTGCGCAATCAGTAAGTGAACAATCTTAATTCAAGCCGTTTACACAGAGAAAATTATTTGGTGAATTTCAACAACTAGTTGTTGAAATTCACCAACTAGTTTTCGAAAAAATGAATTACCAAGCAGTTATTGAATTTCAACAACTAGTTGTTAAATTTCAACAACTAGTTAGTGAATTTCAACAACTAATTGGTGAATTTCAACAACTAGTTGTTGAAATTCATAATAGTATATTGTGTTACTAGTGTGTAAAGTTCTGCTTTTTTGCACGCGCGTTTAACATATCCTATTTTTTATGGTACCTGCCGAATTCACTGTTCAGAACGGTAGTGGGGGTAATGTGATTGTTTTTGTGCACGAGTGCGTAGAGTTGCAATTGTGTTACTAGTGCGTAAAGTGAACTTTACGCACGCCGTGCGGAAAACGACTGCTTTACGCCCACTAAACCGTTTCGAAAAGTGCACTTTTGAGACAGATATCATAAAAAATCATTTTCTCCGTGTACCTAACTGCGCTTGAGATACTAATTACTCTGCTAAACTCCTCCAATTCTAATATACAATTCTTCCCATAGGTCCTATTGCACATGCAAGTGTGCAGGGTGTGCCCGCAATAGATGTCAATGCATTGGTCAGTGTTTTGAATACAATCTCTAGATCGGGAAATGGTGCAGGAAATGGTGCTGCTGGCAGTCCAAGCTTGGTTAACATCAATCTTTTGGTACAACTTCTCAATCAATTACTCAGTAACGGTCAATCCGGTACAGTTAGCACTGGTACTTTGACTGACATTTGTAATCGAGCATGTATCAGCCCTCCATCATCTTCTGGTAGAAATACTGACAGTTTAATCGCCATAAAAATTCTCATTCAACTTTTAAATACAATCTTGCAAGCCGGTAGCCGCGGCGACGGTAATGGCGACACAGGTGGTAATGGTGGTGGTAATGGAGGCTTGCTGAGTGTCAGCGCTATCGTCAATTTATTGAATGTCATAGCTGGACGTGGTTCTAGCTCAGAACCTGGAACCACCACCAGGCCTCTTATCGGCATCGATGTCCTTCTGGATGCTCTCAATTCATATAGAACTTCAAGGAGATATGGTGGGAGAAGATATTGTCACATTGGCCAATTCAATACACTATTGGAACGGGAAAGCATACGCGCAGGCCAAAGTGCTGGTGAAGGCAGTGTTCTCAATGCCCAGACAATACTACCTCTGCTGGAGCGAGTAACCTATCCTCCTACCCGCACTTCTGCGAGAAGCGACAGTTTAATTCAGATCAATGTTCTTGTGGACGCGTTAAATCAACTTCTTGGGGGTACGGGTCGTTGTGGCGTTCGGGGCTCGATGGATTGTGGACCTGGTGTACAAGGTGGCAATGATGCCTTGGTATCCGTTGATGTCGCAGCATCTCTTTTGAATAACTGCTCCAGAGAAGGTGGCGGCTTGCTTGGCCTTGTTGGCAATCTTCTCAACAATCTTTTAGGCGGTCTTCTAGGAGGACATGGTGGTCTTCTAGGTGGTCTCCTAGGAGGTCTTTTAGGGGGAGGAAGAGGATCAGGTGGGCTTTTAGGTGGTATTTTAGGCTAGAGTTAAAGGTATAACTAATATTTTAAAATCTAAAGGAATCGACCAATTGGTGAGTACAATCCTTCTTGTCTCAGTTCTTCTCGAATTACAAAACCATTTTGTATTGAAAAGTAAAGGTTTTGGTGAATAAAAAAAATGCAGTCCATATCATGTGTTATTATTATTGTTCAGATGTATAAATTTCGTTATTTCCTCAATTCTAGTGAACATCCGAAGTTTTTGGAAAAAGAACCGATATTTTAGGAATCAGTAATCCAAAAAACATAAAACCGTACACATACTTCTTTTGTGGGTAACAAACTACTCTCTGTTCGACCTTTCACTTTGGAGTTAACCCTCTAAGGTGAAAAGCGTAGTAGGAAACTCAAGTGGGAACGCTGGTATTCCGCTTTGGCGGCCATAGAGTGGGGATATTGAAATTCACCTTATACACTGAGAGAAAAGATTATTCCTGCCAAGGATTGATATTCTCGTCAGAAGATAATATTTTTTCAGAACGAATTTTTCCAGGACAGTCATTTTCAGAGAGTCCAAGTCTATCCTCAAAAATTACAGTGATATTGAACAATCTGATTATTATGCTACATATGACCTTGACAAAATGTTCTCCGATATCTTCCGGATTTTACAAATTGGCGATTTTCTCAGGTAACGAAAATTGGAATAATTCCAAATGTTAATAATTATTATTGGAGTTTCTTCGAGGTCATATGCAGAAGAATATTCTTATAGATCACCATAATTCTCACGCTTGGAACTGATTTCGGAGCACCTGGAAATGACTGGCCTGGAGAAATACGTTCCAAAAGAGATATTTTCTTGTACTAAGAGTATGAAAAAGAGATCACCAATAACATTTTCTTGGAAGGAATAAATTTTTTTCTCAGTGTAGGGTTATGTAGCGGCAGATGATATAACTAGGTGGACAGGGACATGGATGGGTGGCGAAAAATCATGTCATGGGCATGAATTTTTTTGAACCATGACTAATTCCATTTTGATGACAATTTTTTGAGTGATTGTTGAAAAATTAATTTTTGAAAAAATTCAATTTTTTCAAATTTGTATGAAAAATTGAATTCTAATTGGTGTCAATGACTAGAGCTTATTGAAGTCTATACTCATGACAAAATTCATGAAATTCGATCGATCCTTCATAAGAAAATTGGGAGAAAAGACATTCGACCGGGTTTTTAGTTGTTCGCTTCGCTCGCTGCCATTGCGTGTGTGCTGGAGTGGATGTGACCCATCATGGGTCGAACCAATACCTTCCCGACCAATTCACTTTTTTCTGTTTCCATTTTTTAAAAATCCAGTGTAACGATTGCTCCATTCCTCTTATCAAGTAATGTAATAAGATGTTTATGTGTATTTTTTATGTACTGTAATCTTTTTGTTTACAGTAATAATTGTAAAAAAAGAGAAATTAATTTCTTACTGTAATCAGAAAATATATAGTTCTGTAAAAAAAAAGAGAAAAGAACGCAAAAAGCAAAAGAGAAACGAACAAGAAGATGAAGAGGATTATAATGAATTCTAATAAATTATTCAACAATTAAATTCTTATTGTGAAAAACTTTGATGAAACCATTCATTTTTCCTGCATTATTATTGAGATAAAAATTAATGAAAGTGGAAACACACGGAAACTCACGGAAACAAATACGCGCGCGAGGCGCGCGCTCTGTTCTAGCATTAGGAAAAAAGCAAATTTTGAAATTTCTATCCGAATAACGAGAAAACGGCTGAGACGATTTTGCTCAGCATCCAATCAAAATCGAATGGTATGTAGATATATCAAGCATTGTGGTTTTGATTTTCGGGGTAATTACAATAATTTCCTCCCTTAGGGTCGGGAAGATAAAAATGAAGACGAAAGATCACATACGTACATACACCATCTAAAAATCGCATATTCGGACTTTTTAGACCATAATTATTTACTCCTAACACAAAAATTGCAAACTTAAAAATTGGAAACTTTAATTTGAACGATTACAAATTTTCCATTCGGAAGCATAAAGTGCTGTATGAAAGTCAATTAATACCAAAGTATCCTGGATCATATCATGATAGATGAGCTGTGTTTTATCATTACAAGTTTGTCGGAGTATCTCACCTCCTAATCGCTTGTGTTAGTCATTCGAAATTGAGCTGTAAGAAATGAGGATAAAAAATTATTTATTTATTTTGGCCATCTATTTATGGGTATGACCATACACCAACTGGGTCCTGCAAGGAATTAACATAATTTACGATGAAAATACAATGAGACAAACATGACCGCGTCTGCCACAGCCCAAACAATCGACAAACACGTGAAACAACTGGAATCACACAAACGGTCGACGACGTTTTTCTTTTCCATTCGGTATAAATAAGGATATAGTAATGGAATTAATAGTCCAGGTGATGGATGAAAATCATAGTATCGATGTCTACGTATTTCGTAATTGAATAAAGAATGTACCGCTCATAAACATTTATCCAATTCATTTCAGTATGATCATCCTCGGTATTGAAGAGATTTAGCATTGATATTTTGCCGGAGCCAAAACAACAGATGAGTAATGTGTCTCAGTATCGTATTGTTCATTCGGATAATAGCAGTGTCGAGGTGGCGCGAAGATTTTCCTCCTCAATGTACTCGCACAGGCATTATTGCCGTGAAAAATATCAACTCAGTACTGGATACTTTTTGGGAGGGCATTGATTTCTGATTTGGAGGATTACTATCGATTTATGATGAATATATCACAAATACATCGAACAATTTGGTATTCAAAATTTTCGGTGACTCTAGTATTCAATTTTTCTCTGAAGCTTTTCTCGGTTATCACCGACACTGAGAGAAAAACGTTAACGTTCTCAAACAAGTCTTACTTGTACCAAGAAAATAGTTTTCTGAAAATTATCAAAAAAGTTTTTTTTTGCGCCAAACATGCAGAGAGTGCGCCGGAATGAAAAATTTGTGTTGCACAAATAGATTTATCAGTTCAAAAAAAAATTGCATTCTCTGTACATGCAAGAAATATCATTTCTAGCACTACTCCGTCGTTATTCGATACTCCCAATCCCCTCTTGCTATACAGTCAATCCGAAGCTCAGCGATCGGTTCGAGCGCGTGAGCAGAGGTTCAGCCGCAACCCCGCTTGAATTTCTACACGGGATACGTATTTTGCTCCCGAAAAATCTTTGTTTTATATGAAACAAGGGATAGTAGTTTTTCGTTTCGGCTGTCTAATAATCACAGACAAGAAATAAACCCTTAAATGAAACAATAATAATGATATGATAACAATCATGTAACTTAGGGATAAAATATTTTTTCCGTCCCGGCGGGCGCAAAGTTACATTTCCCTTCCGCTTCGCGGGAGGGAACTCTGACTTTGCGCCTACGCCGAGACGGAAAATCGCGTTCTAACCACGGGAAGTAAAATAAAGGACCCTCAGCCGCGTGCTTACCAACCTCGCCTTCGGCTCGGCTGGTAATTGCACTGGCGGCTGAGGATCCTTTATTGTCCCTCCCTACACGGAGAGAAATGTACGAGAAAAATTACCGTGCCCGCACAGTAAAGTTGGTTCAGATGGTCTTTCCAGGCCAAATGTACCGCAAAGAGTAGGAAAAAGTACTGTTGCACGAGTCATTTTTCGGATAAATGTGGGGAAAAATTCTTGTGCAGCACGGTAAAATCGAAGCGACAGTGAATTTTTACGAGAAATACGAGAAAAATTATGACACTGACTGGCAAATTTTTCCGGTGCTCTACCAGAATCCTAGGACCCGATCGCGCATTCGTAAGATTTCGGTACTCTTCGTCCCCCCTCCGCAACCACGAACATCGACTCAACGTGACCAGATGATTTATTCCGTCGCCTCCTCTAGCCTCCTCTCTCACATATCTCCTTACTGAAACCACAGGTTAATGTTTTTCATAATATCAATTCAGTGAAATATTAATTAGTGTTGTGATAAAACGGTTAAGAAATAAAATAAGTGCCCTTTATTTTCGCTTCATGAGGTGTATAACGCTGTAGATATACATTGGCCTGTCAAACGTTCCACATACGTTTGCCGCGCATTCCGCTTTTAATATGGGAGAGAGGATGTGGAGGAGAGGTTAAAATAAAATTAATAGGATGATATGCTGAATGACAATGTTTACTCATTTTTAACTATTGAATGAAATTTATCATGTAATAGAAAACAGTCAGGGATCAAGCTTTTATTGTGCGTTACCGGAATTTTTACTATGCAGCACCGGAATTTTTCTGGTGCTAGACAATTGAACCCACTTTACCAGACGGCACGGTAATTTTTGCCTGAATTTCGTCTGAAAAATTCTGGAATTTTTTTCTCCGTGTAGGTTAGAAATATACTATCGCCACGGCGGGCGGAAAGGACACATTTTCCTCCCGCGAAGCGGGAGCCTTTCTGCCTACGCCGTGACGGAAAATAAAGTTCTCAACACGGTAGGTAAAATAAAAGATCCTTACCCACGTACTTACCATTTTGCACGTGGGCACGACTACTTTATTTTCCCTCCCTTGGTGGGAAATATACTATTTCACACACCTGCACGGAAAGTTCGTACTTTCCTCCCGCTCATCAAAGAGCAAAATACGAACGTCCCTTTGCAGGTGTGTTAAAAAATAGCATGTGCACGTCGGGCTGGAAAACAAGACTTTCCGTCCTTGATGCACAATATACTATTATTGACAAATTTTCCTCTATATGAGATATTTTCATGCTGAAAAGGCACCGTCTGGTGTGAATTATTCGCCTCTTACGGTGCGAGCCAAATATTTCGTTGCTGTCGAAAGCAGAACAATTGTTCATGTTTGAGACTTTCAAATTCAAACCAAACAAATTCTTTTTTCGCAATTTTCAACTTGCGATTTTGTTGGCCCAAACAAGACTTGTTTGACGTCTTTGTTTTTCTCGCAGTGTAGGATAGGTTTGAATCTAGTACTGCAAACGTTGTAGTATCTGAAAAAAAACATTCCTAGCTTTCCTATGTATTTCGTAGATAATTTATTAACCCACTCATTATATTAGCAAGATTGTGTATGAAAAATACTGCTATGAGGAATTGATCATTAATGATAAGCAAATTGTGTCAGTTTTATGACTGTGTTCAACTACTCCACACGGAAAAAAGTTACCTAAAAAGTATCTTGACAATCACATAAAAATTATGTTGTTTAACGTAATTGTGATCCAGCGCTATTGCGTCACAGAAATCACTCCCTGAGAATTTTCATGGAGTGTCACGTAAAAATTCTGTTGCAATCCATAAAATTACCAGAACTCAAGAAGGACAATTCATTTTTTGCTCGGCATTTTTTCTGCGTTTTCGCGTAAAAATTTCGTAAAGAGCATTCACTTCACGTTTACGGTTTCTCCCGTCATTTTTCTTGAAATTTTTTCTTGGTGTGCCAGAGTTAGAAACTTACTACTTTTCGTATTAGGTGGAGAAAAACTTGTCCGGCGAATATGAGTTTGCAATCATATGAGCTAGAAATTTTTTTTTCGACCTAATGAAGAAATGTACTATTTTGTTCGTGTGAATAAATATTCTAAATTTTTCTCAGAAGATTTTCTCGGTTATATCACCTAGGATAGGTTTGAATCCTAGTACACGGAGAGAAATTTTCTAGAAAAATTCTAATACGAGTACTGGAAAAACTCACCATCCACCGGCTGTGACAAATTCTAGTGCTGTTACGGTAAAATTTCTTGGTATTTCTGTGAAATTTTCACAGAAATACGGGGAAAAATTCACGTCCCGAGTCGAGGATTTGGTTCTGATTGGACGTACACAGGTCTTTCAAGATCTCTCCAGACTTAGATGGACCTGGTAAGTCCTAATCAGTTCTGCGACGTACTTTTCCAGAGACCATTCGAATCCTCAGTTCTTTTCGGTCCGGAGAAGTCCTCCTCGATGCTACCGAGAACGCGTGATTTTACGAGCGGGTGAAGGGGAAGGCATGTATGCGGAGGGTTGAAATTTGTAGCCAACGAGGAGACAGGGTTGCAGAATATATTTTAGCCACCCTCATCTCCCCGTTTGCAGGCGGTGTTTAAATAAAAAATAGTGAACGTTGATTCTGTATTTATTGACCCCCTGATGCCAATGAAACCCTCGGAGGTGACAGAAAAGGGGAAAATTTTTTTTTCATTTTCACGTGGGTCAAGGGTGAAAGTCGATTTTCGCCAAAATTGAATTTTTTCGCCAAGTGAAAGTTGATTCTGTATTTTCTAACAATTCTGATGCCAATGAAACCCCCGAAGGCGCGACAAAAGTCGAAATAAAAATTTTTTTTTCACCCCGAGCCAAAGAGATTTTCTGTTTTTCCAGAGGGAAAGTCGACTTTCGCCAAAATCGAATTTTTTAGTCGGGCGAGTGTTAATTCCAACTATTTAAGCGAGGGGCTATTCAGAACTCTCAAAAGTATGTGGGAAAAGTGAAAACTAAAAAAAATTGTTTTTCACCCGGAGCCAAAGGGTTAGATTTTCGGTTTTGCCAGGGGGAAAGTCGACTTTCGCCAAAATTGATCGGATCTGGTTGAACGTTGATTCCAACTATTTAAGCGACGGGCTATTCAGAACTCTCAAAAGTATGTGGAAAAAGTGAAAACTGAGAAACCGTTTTTTTTTGCCCCAGCCAAAGGGTCAGATTTTCGGGTTTTCCGGGGCAAGTGGATTTTCGACAAAATCGAATTTTTTAGCCGGGTGAACGTTTATTCCAACTATTTAAGCGCCGGGCTAGTCAGAACACTCAAAAGTATGTGGAAAAAGTGTG